TGGGACTACATCAAACTAAAAAAACTTCTGCATAGCAAAGGACGCCATCAACAAAATGAAAAGGCAGCGTACTGAATGGGAGAAAACATTTGCAAATCATGTATCCAATAAGAGTTAATATCCGAGAAAAAAGCCAAAAAGTCTGATTGAAAAGTGAGAAGAGGATCTGAATAGACATTTTTCCAAAGAAGACATCACCCACAGGCACATGCAAGGGTGCTCAAGATAACCATCAGGGAAATGCAAATCAAAACCAGTGAGATATCACCTCACATCTGTTAGAAGTGGTTATTTAAAAAAAAAAAACCACAAATGTTGGTGAGGATGTGGAGAAAACGGACCTTGTATACTGTTGGTGGGAATGTAAATTGATGCAACCACTATAGAAAGCAGTATGGCAGTTACTCAAAAAATTAAAAATAGAACTATATTTTCCAGCAGTTCCACTTCCGGGTATTTATCTGAAGAAAATGAAACACTAACTTGGAAAGCTATCTGCAGGTTGCTGCAGCATTATTTACAATAGCCCAAACATGTTAACAACTTAAGTGTCCACCAGTGGATGAATGGATGAAACATACATATTCACAATAGAATTCAGCCATAAAAAGGAAATCTTGACATCTGTGACATCATGGATGGACCTTGAGGGCACTGTACTAAAATAAGAGACAAATACCATATGATCTCACTTATATGCAGAACCTAAAACAAAGTCAGAACACTGAACTCAGATACATAGAACAGATTGGGGGTTGCCAGAGGTGAGGACTGGGGGAATGGGCAAAATGGGTGAAAGAGGGCAAAAGGTACAGACTTACATTTACAAAATTAGTTAAGTCCTAGGGATGTAATATACAGCATGGTGCCTACAGTTAATAATACTGTATTGAATATTAGAAAGGGGCTAGTACAGTAAGTCTTAAAATTTCTCATCACAAGAAAAAAGGAAAACTGGTAACTGTGATGGATTTTTACTAGACTAACTATAGTAACCATTTTTGCAATTTACACATGTATTGACTCATATTGTAAACCTAAAACTAATACAATGTCCATTAGGTCACACTCACAAAAATGTTCCTAAATTAAAAGGGCATCCTAATGGAAAAATGGACCAAAAATATGAGTCAGTTCTCAGAAAAATAAACAAACCAAATGGCTTTTAAACATACAAAAAAATGTTCTATGTCCCTCATAATAAAATAAAACTACTTGATAAAAAGGCTTTCTCATCAACATTGCTAGTGGAATAAAAAATGGTAGAATTCCTATGGAAGTATTGGTATAGCAAGCAAAATCATATACATTTACACCTTGATGTAGCAATCCCACTTCTGGAATCTCTCCCACAATGATGACTTCATTGTAGCACTGTTTTTAAAGGACCCAGATGTCCATCTATACAGTGGAGGGAAAAAAGCAAAGTATACTTAAGTAAAAAACAAAAAAACAGGTACAAAACAATGTACAGCATGCTAGCTTAAAGTTTTTTTACACTGCATCAGTATGCTAATATTTAAAAATGTATATGTACTGTGTATGTATACCTTATTATTTGCTTATATTTTCAAAAAAACAAGGATAATCATGCTTACCTATATGGGAAAGAGGAGATCATGGGCTGGGCAGAGTTAAAATAGACTCCTCTGAATGTACCTTGTTTTACAGTTTTTACTTTGAAAAACTTTTTTGAAAGTTTTTACTTTTAAATGTACTAAAAGAGTTAAATTATGAAAAGCAAGCCCAATCTCTAAAAATTATGAAGATGAAAAGGGGAGCAAATGGACCAAACTATCAGAGTTGGTGACAAACAGAAGAATTTCAAGTGATTTCCAAACACATCTTGATGACAGAGCCAGAAAGAAATCTGAAATTTTTTTGTCTTGTTAGTAGTATATTGGTATTGTTAGTTTAAAACAGTTGTATGCATTGTAGATTAATACAGATATGTTCATGTGTAAATATAATTAGGAACTAAGATTTTTAGTTCCTAAGCATGAACTAGTGAAGCAAAAACTCCAATTCTTATGTGTGCATAGGCAAATAATTTTACAAGAACATGGTATTAAACCAGTGGATTTTTTTTTTTTTTTTTTTGCATCAGAAATCCCTTTACTGTCAAGTCCTTAGTGTCTGAGTAGTATAATCTTTGGTTTCTGTTTCCCTGAATCTTCAGTGTGTCATAATTTTGCTGAGTTACTCCTAAGGCTCTTTCCTCTTACATTTAGCCACATTAATTTACATACATGCTAACTGCACTGAGGTGGCAGTTTATTTTCACTACCATTGTACCCTTCTACCTGGCTGATTTCTGTGATCTTAATGCATCTTAAATCACAATAAAGGCCTTCGCAATGGTGTTTTTATACCCAACTCATTGTAGTAATCCTAACTTCCCTTCCCTACATTGCAAATAATTTGTACCTATGGCTTTTTTTTTTTAGATGGCTATTCATATGAAAAGGAAGCAATGGAAAATTGGATCAGCAAAAAGAAACGTACAAGTCCCATGACAAATCTTGTTCTTTCTTCAGTGGTACTTACACCAAATAGGACTCTGAAAATGGCCATCAACCGGTGGCTAGAGGCTCATCAAAAATAAAATTGTTTACATTATATTATATTATTTATATTTTTCGTGATGTCATTTAAATGCTCTAAAGGTAAATACTAATCAGATATTATTCAAAACCAAAACAGAAGGAAAAAAGTAAACTTCTTGAATTTAGTTCCTTATAAAAACTATTTACTATTTTCATTCTTTAAAACATATGGAGTATATAACACACCTAACCTCTTTTCTGTTTCTACTACAAAAAAAGACTTTTATACTAGTGGGAAAAAACTTTAAATTGCAATGCTCTAATTTATTCTCACTAGATATCCTATTAATTAAAGAACAGAATACTCTAGAAATAAATACTTAGATTCTAGTTAATAGCCATTCATTTGATAACTCTTTGGAATTCTTCTAAAGAGAATTTGTAGCAAAATAATAGATGTTTATGACTAAATTGAGAAAATCACACTGATGAGCAGTATGTTGCATTCTAAATTTGTGAGATGGGAATGATTATTTTCCTCATTGTCCAAACCTAGTTACAAGTTAGGTGGAATAAATTATCACGAATACATCAAGAAGACTTCGCTGAAATACCTAACGTGGCAAACTACTCTTCTTTTAGAATTCAGAATTCTTAAAGTTCTCACATAATATTCTAAGCTGGGATGACTATTTTTACACAATAGACTGATCTTCAATAGAAAATCCTGTTAAGTGTTCACTCAAGAAAAACTTCAGAAAGTTGAGGTTGTGTTGATTTTACATACCTGTCATCAACTATTTACCAGAATGGAAGTAGAGGGAAAGCTTAGAGAACTCAACTGTAGAGGCAGGCAAAGATCAAAACTGCATGTATTTAACCCCCCAAGTCCTCATTGTAGTTGCTCAGAAATTTGAAAACTTAGAAATAAAAAGGGGAAAATCAATGCAATTTATCTGTAGTCAATCTTTTCCTGTATTTTACAAACTTACAGCTAATATGCCATATACATGTTCACAGAAATGTGGAAAATGTAATTAACACAAATCTCCAAATACAAAACAAGAAATTATAAGGAAAAGGTAAAATTTGTCATCCTAATGTATTACTGAATTTCCTTTGTGTCATAGCTAGGATTCACTGTCTATGACTAAAAATGGCTTTTTTCATACTACACGTGCTTCTCAGGTTCTTAGGACAAAAAAAGGTTTGATAACATGTTCTAGAAGGTGCTTTCTCTTGCAATCTATAAAGAAACTATGGTAACATAATTCTAACAAAAGATTTTAATTTATAGAGCTCATGATTGGACCAAATATCTTTTGTTTTGATAAAGGGTTTCCAAAGGAGGCTGTCTGGTTTTTTACATAACAGTTACTAAAACTCATCAAAGTCACTCATAGGAAACAATAAAAGACTGGTTATTTTTAAAATGTGTTAAAGAAGGTGATTTCCTTTCTACATTTCACCAGAACAGTTTCCTGTTAAACAGCTGAAACTAAGATGCCAGTAATTGCCAAAGTGAAGTGCTTCTGTTTTGTATATGGACAAACCAACGCCAAACAACTCCCCACAAATACACAAGCAAGCAAACCAGATGCAAAACCACCCACAGGAAGGGACCCGACAGGCCCACCCCACCATTAATTAGGCCAGGACCACACAGGAGCTGCACTCACCTGACCACCGCCTGGTCCTCGGGTCTGACCAGAAGCTTCCCAGGGAGCCTTCGCTTCTTTCTGGGTAACTGGACCAATACCTTCACTTTAATAAGCGTTAATAAGCGTTTATCAAAATCATAATGTATAATACATCCCAGGAATCACACTGGCAGCTTCACAGGAAAAGGCACCCAACAATAAGACTGACCAATTAGCCATTAACACTTTTTCCCTCCCACCAGCTTTTTGTTTTTTAACCTTCAGTTTAAAAATACAGCTGTAAAGAAGTACCAGCAGTACTCTATGTAGCCTTGCTAGTAATAGCAATAACCAGACAATAACCTAAAGTAATATTAGGGAATGTTAGGCTGAAGATTTCAAGTCAGGATTTTCATAAGGTAAACGTTCATTTAGAAACTGAAATATGTGGGAATAAAGACAAACACACTCTTAACTGAAAGACAATAAAAATGTGAAGAACAAACTCTCATATTAACACACTATTCAGTGTATTGCCAAACAGTACTAATGATGTCCTACTGCCCATAAAAACACACCCAAGATTTCTGGAACAGGTAAGAAAAGTATGGAATGCTCTTCTCCACGCATTCTTCCTATTTCAGGCAAAAGGACCTTAACATTTTGAGATTTCTAAAGCTGTTACCTTGTTCTGAAAATTATTATTAAATGACATTTGGGAATATTATGATAAACAGGCTTTTCACTATTTTCATTAGGGTAACAAGATCCCCCAGGATTAAAGCTTGGCAGATAAAGTCACCAGGAAGTCTACTTCTACATTGTCTCATTTAATGCAAAACAAATTCTATTAATAGTCTTTATTCCATATGGAAAAGTACAGTAGTTGTGCAGAAATAAAACTACATAACAAGAGTAAGACGTTCACAAATATTAAGGAAACAAACAATAAATAAGCCATAGTAACAGCAGAACTCATGGAAAGCCTATAAAACATGATAAAGCTATGCAAGTACACTGTGCACACTCCGGAACAAAGGTTGAAGACACCAGAAGATTCCTATTTGTACAAAACCATAATGATGCTCACAGGAACTTCACTGTAACTACTCAGTTTTTAAAACATTCTGCAAATAACTTCCCCCCATTCTAGAAAATAAATTCCACATCCCCACATATAAAACACACTCTGACCTCTCAAACTAACATTTTAACATCCTCCCAAAAGCACACCATTTTCATATAAAAATACCTTTAAACCAAGACTCATTCCTGTACCTTATCTTTACAAATGAATAATACATCAGTTTGGACTAAAGTAGCACCTCAGAGGTGTTTGTATAAATGAGATAAAGTGCTGTTGCTGGTACACTGCTGACATGCCGTATGACACACCATCAGTGCAATAACCAGCAGCGATGAAGCTTACAAGGGACATGCTAATATATGACTTTATTTTTTTAAGCTTAACTACCTGACTTATTTACAAATTTGAATACAATTTGGCTGTTTAATATGTACAATATGTGACTATGAAGTAATGATTGTGTAATAAAGGCAATAACCAGCCATATCTTAAGTGTCTAAATTAAATACTGCCCTTAAAGGCCCTTGAAAGGCTTGTTCCAGGAGTGCTGTCATTGTTAGAAGCAGTTTTGAGAGCTAATTTACATGTTGCCAAGGATGCTGTATTCTTAGTATTTTAGCCCAAATCCAATTTGACCAGCAATCATGATTCCAAATGACTTACACTGTTTCTAAATACTAAAAACACCTTACAGCAGGAATATAGTTCCAAAAAAGGTGCTATAAAACCATTTTTAGTAAGAACTGTAACATGGAAATATATGTTTAATGCTCTTAAGGAAATTGCTATGAAGGAAACAATACTTGGATGTTCCTGAATTTTGCTTAAAAAAAAAATCAGCTATGTAACATTAGTCACACAAATTCTGCTAGAAATCACTTGGGCCTTATATCTATCTATCTATCTATCTATCTATCTATATCTATATATATCTATATATATATATACACACACATATATATGTAAATTAAAATTGGAACTTGACTCAATGAAACTTGACAATCCCATCTTTCCAGAATACATCATCTGGATTTTATGTCATAAGTTAAACCTATCACTAGACATTTGCATTCTCTTAAGAAACATGATTTTACCACATAGCAAAGGCCAGGAGAAAAGTGATAAAAACCAAACAATTTTGTAAGAGAAAAGCATGAGTTAATGTCTTCTTGGCTGTCTTAAATTCTAACTTAACAGGTATAACTAATTCTGGTTAGCATTTTTATTTATGGTGACTTCTAGCTATCAAATTCAATCCCACATTTTACATATATGAATGGCATCTGATTCACCCCCAAGGAAAAAAGAGAAAAAGTATAGGCTAAATGGTAATTTTTCTCATGAAAGACCATTTAATTACCACAAGTAGCCAACACACTATTTTCCAAATTTACAAACGGGTCTGTGTGAAGGCTCACACATTGGACTCGATGAATGATCGCTTTGGTTTTGCTGAAGGGAGGTGACTCCTGTGGGCTTCATTACTGACATGAGGCTGCTGTTTAGAGATGCTTTCCTGATACAGATGAGAAGCACTTTTAGTCACCCTACTGTCTTGACAGTGGACTGGAATCTGGCACTTGTCTTCTAGCTCCTTCACCTGTGCCCCATTGTGGACACTCACACCCAGGGTAGAAACGGCACCGGCTTTGGCGTGGCTGGTATGTCCTGCTTGTCTGAGAGAGGGCTTCTCAGAGCTCGAGGACTGCAGGCCAGCTGCCGGCGGGCGTGTCGGCAGCCCCTCCGGGCCCGGACAGCGCCGAGCGCGGCTGGGAGGGTTGCTCTGCGGCTGGAACCTTGCCGTCTTATCCATGACGCCCATGAACGGGGTGCTGCGGGGCCGGTGCTCAGCCATGCTGCTCTGAACCTGGTTAACAGCTTTGTCTTTGATTCGAGCTTCTGGTCCTGAGATCCTGAAGCCATCTGAAAAACTGCTGCTTGAAGTCAAACTACTGGTTGAACTTGACATCTTTATGCTGCTAGATGGAGAACCTGAAGAGCTTGAGCTGGTGAGAGAAGCTGGGTGCCGCATGTCGCTGCAGCTCCCAGGCCCGCCTTGGTGGAGAGGAGCTACATCCACAGCCACAGAGGCATGAGACAGAAGCCTCTCCGCGGTTCTTACCTTGCTCGGTAAAGGAACAGCGCCACTCTCACCGGGCTGCAGCTGCACGCTGTGGCTGGGGCCCAGCTGGTCCCCCACCTGGCCCGAACCAGCTCCCACAGCGGAGGGACCCGTGCCCTCTAAATGCTGGTTTCTGCTGCCGGCAGGAGCTGCGGAGACCCTACCCGGCATGGGACTCGGGGGAAGGTTCTGAGACGAGGCCAGAACTTTTGTGCTACTGTTTCTCACGCCAGACTGTCCAGACCCCAAATGTTGGCTGGTTTTCACTATCTGTGCCTGCTTTGGCTGCATGACCAACCCTGGCTGAGCCATTGGCTCCCTTGGGGCCTTACTGGTTCCTGGCCTATTCTGTGGTGATACTGGCCTTATTTTGGATTGTAACCCTTCTTGAAGGTTTCGGATATATGGGGAGGGGAAAGATGAAGATGGCTGGCACTTGGGAGTCAGGGAGATGGATCCTTCCTGGGGAGAAGTTTCTTCTTCGGCCTCCTTGAGATGAAGGTGGTCGTCTGCTCCTGGGGCTGGGGCGTCCTCCTCATCATCTGAATCATTGGCTGGGGCTGGGGGTGGGCACTGCTGTTTAGGCTGCTGGCTCCTCTGGAGCTGCTTGCATTCCTCTTCTACACGGGCTAAGAGCCTCTTGATTTCCTGATTGGTGGGACAGAGCTTCACAGCTTCCCTCAGGTCAGCCAGGGCTGCCACAAACTGCCTTTATATTAAAACGGAGGAATAATTACAAGCCAAGTAAGAACATGCTCTGAACGTAACTTCATAAAATAGCTAAACGGAAAGAAGGCAGCTGAGAGAGTTTTGAACAATTACTGTGGTGGACAGAACCCATTTAACTAGCTTGGAGTTGCTCAGCTAAGAGGGAATACTGAATTCTAACCTAGATCCGGGCAACTCCAGGGCCCTGCTATCTCTGTAAAGATCACTGGGCCGGGAATGAGGAAGGTGTCCACTGGTGGGCATCATGATTACCCTCCCCATCCCGTCTCACCACCCACCTCATGCAAAAGTCTTATCTGACTCCTCCTTGCTCCCCCTCACCATCCCTTGACGTCTCTGGTTGGCAGCTCCACTAACAATATGGGCTAAACAATCTAGGAGCTTTATGTTGTAGTGTCAGCTGGGGTGGAGGGGAAAAATAGTTGTTGAAATGTCAGGAGAAAATAAACCTTCCGTCACTACTAATAATATCCCCTACTGTGCCTCTTGGAACCTACCAACTTAGTATACAAAGGAATGAGGGGCATCTGAGTAGTGCTTATCTGAGCCAGGAGCCCTCAAAGTCCACCAGCAGCTCAAACATCACAGAAACAGAAGGCGGCTTCTCTACTCCCGCTATTTCACCCCAGACAGTACCTGCTATTTCTCTTCGCTCTTGCTCTGGCATAAAAGGCTTCATAGGACTTGGGCTTCAATTCAAGAGCCTTGGAAGCAAATTCTTCTGCCATGCCAAAGTCCTGGTGTCAATATTTAAATACAAGAGTCAAAACAAGCACTGAAACAAGATTACAGGCAACATTTTAGTAGCAGTTTTGTTCTCAAGGTTAGCAGAGAATGTGGAATAATTTGGGAGAGACATGAATGGCGAGTTTGGTGGTTTTGTTTAGTTTTAAAGTTAGAAGAAAGTCAAAGCTTATTAATATTACTAACAGAAGAAACCAGTCGAGAAGCAAAAATTGGTGACTCAGGAAAGAGAGCACAGTGACAGAAGCAGTGCATCAAAAGGGAAGAGCAAGACACATGAAAAGATGCTCCACATCGCTTGTCATCAGAGAAATGCAAATTAAAACCACAATGAGATATCACCTCACACCAGTAAGGATCACCAAACACAACCATCCAAAAGACAAACAACAAATGTTGGCGAGGTTGTGGAGAAAGGGGAACCTTCCTACACTGCTGGTGGGAATGTAAATTAGTTCAACCATTGTGGAAAGCAGTATGGAGGTTCCTCAAAAAGCTCAAAATAGAAATACCATTTGACCCAGGAATTCCACTCCTAGGAATTTACCCCAAGAATGCAGCACTCCAGTTTGAAAAAGACAGATGCACCCCTATGTTTATCTCTGCACTATTTACAATAGCCAAGATATGGAAGCAACCTAAATGTCCATCAGTAGATGAATGGATAAAGAAGATGTGGTACATATACACAATGGAATACTATTCAGCCATAAGAAAAAAACAAATCCTACCATTCGCAACAACATGGATGGAGCTAGAGTGTTTTATGCTCAGTGAAATAAGCCAGGCGGAGAAAGACAAGTACCAAATGATTTCATTCATATGTGGAGTATAAGAACAAAAGAAAACTGAAGGAACAAAACAGCAGCAGAATCACAGAACACAAGAGTGGACTAACAGTTACCAAAGGGAAAGGGACTGGGGAGGATGGGTGGGAAGGGAGGGATAAGGGTGGGAAAAGAAGAAAGGGGGCCTTACGATTAGCATGTATAGTGTGTGGGGGGGCATGGGGAGGGCTGTGCAACACAGAGAAGACAAACAGTGATTTTATAGCATCTTACTATGTTGATGGACAGTGACTGTGAACGGGGATGTGGGGGGGACTTGGTGAAGGGGGAGCCTAGTAAACAAAATGTCCTTCATGTAATCGTAGATAAATGATACCAAAAAAAAAGAGAGAAGAGCAGATGGAACCCAGTGCACCAGTGGAGAGGCCAGCCTCAAAGGGGCCTAGATGCTGCCTCCACTGTAACAGGAAGGAGAGTGGGCGGCACAGAAGCACACAGGTCAATAGAATTGGTGCTACGAGGAAGAAGTTTAAAAGTAGTAGAAGAAAGAAGTACTGAGACAAATCTAGTTACTAGTTACAAATTAACTGTGTTAACTACTATTAATTACAAATTCACCAGTTACTGGCATAGTCAGAACAAACATAATAAACAGTAGGCAGATTATAACACATCTGTGTTGAGCTTTATGATGCCCTTTGCTTTTGCATCTGAGGATGGGCCACTCATGGCAATGTCAACAACATACAGTTGGGAAGGGGGGGAGGAGCAGTTTGCATTTGCTTCCCACCACTCGGGCAGAGCAAACAGCAAACTGTACCCAAGTGCATTCTCTCAACATCTTGAGAGGTGGGTAGTGACAGTGACCAAATCACGGTCATCCAAGAGAAGCAGCTTCCCATAGACAGGCTCACAGAAACGTGCAAATCAGATGGGTGGCCCCACAATTTGGAAGGGACAGCCTATACCACTCTGAAAACATTCCATTGTTAAAAGGATCGGAATAAGGGGCCACAGCTTACATTTGTCTTTCTTCGGCAGCGAGACAAATTGAGATAGAGAGAAACTCGTAGTTCATTGAACAGTCTCATGTCCTCTCCAAATCCTTCTCGAGGAAACTTCCGTAAGGCATATTGGTACCTCTGGGTTGCTTCTTTCATTTTCCCTTTCTAGGATTAAAAAATCACAGAAATTGATCCTTTTCCAGAGGCTCCAAGATGAATAAGCTCCCATAACCTACAGACTCTGTTGAGGTTATTCTTCCATCACCAAAACCTGCTGCAAGGACCACGACGAGTAGGTGCCGCAGCCACAACCAGCACCTGGGTGTGAGCATGTTTCTGCAATATGGGCCTCACACAGTAAGAATGAGGCTGGTTTTACAGGAAGGGGTCTATAAATTGACAAACTGATAACTACCCATTTTAATACATCAGATTGCCTTCTCTGTTACATATTTTTGAGAGCCATCTCATGAATGATCTCTCATCTAAAGATATTTTAATGCTAAATGTAATAAAAATAAAATGAAAAAAGATGCAGTTCCCTAAGGCAAGCAGAGTCTTGTGGATACACCCAGAGCTCACTACAAAATAATAATTTTTCTTTTAAGAGGAACTAAAGCAGGGGCTTAAAAATCAGAACAGCACCACGCGTCAGATTTTCAAGGCTAAAGAAATCCATTTGCTCCATTAGTTCTGTCGCACAGCAGGTATGAAGTCTGTTGAAAATGGCTTGGTATTTCTAACATAATTGCCTACCAAAATCCATATTAAATCCACTTCAGGGCCACAACAATATACACTCTGAACTCAATTTCAACCTGATTCCAATCCAGGAACCCTGCTGGGTCATGATATAGGCCTATTTATTTATTGTTATTAAAAAAAAAAGGGAAGAAACTAAAACATAGCAAAGAGCCTCATGGTAAAAAGGATTAAAATCCTTTTTGTAGGATTTGTCATAATGTAGGGGCTTTGTGTTCATTTGTCTTAATGTAGGGGCTTTTTCACAGTATTTTAATTCTGTCTAATCACATACCTGGAAAGAATCTATGTAAGTGGCCTAAGCATCTATTGAAACCAGGCAGACTACAGCTTCTGGGCCAGTCTGGCCTGCCACCTGTTTTCACACATACAAATACAGTCTGACTGGGACACAGCTGCCTTCAATCGCTTAGGTATTAACTGTGGCTGCTTTTATGCCATAACAGCAAAGCTGAGTAGCTGTGACAGAGACCATATAGCAAAGCCTAATGTATTTACTATTTGGCCCTTTACAGAAGAAGTCTGCTGCCCTCTGCTATAAATACACTGATGACTTCCTTTGGAAATTTTAAAGTCAAATTTATATTTTGATATTTCTAAGGGAAGATGGGAAAAAAACTAACTCAGTTTTCTGAGTATTATATATTACTTGACTACCTTAAGTAAAAATATCTCTAGAAACAGTTTCAAATGCCAGAAGCTTATACATATTAATGAGATAATAAAGCCTTGAGAGACTTGATGATTCTCTTCTGAAAATGTCTCCTGGGCGTCCCTTTCTCGTGTGTCTCATGACTCTGCTAAGGCATCTCCTGTATGATGTGCCGGTTAAACCAGAAGTAACTCCGCTTTCACAGCAAGGCTTCGGGCTGTAAGTCACAGTAATAGCCACAAGGATTCGCTCAGAAATAATGGTTTTCAGACACAAAGAAAAGTGCTTCCTACCTTGAAGATTCTACTGTTAAGATATTAAAGCCTGGGCACAAGGCCAGGTTAGCAGCTCTTGCAAACTGAATTAAAGCAGGGCTGCATGCATCCCGTGCAGCAGCAGTTAGAGCCATTGCACACGGTGAAGGGTTGCTCACAGGCCAGTGCCCCATCACAGAACAGGGTGATACCACTTACTTTGTACATCACATTTCCTTCCTCCATCAATTTCTGTAAAAGTATAATCAGAATATCAGGTTTGGAAGTAGCCATCGCCCAAGCAGCATTTCCTGAAAAACAAACACGCATTCAGCGGTCCTGCAGGAAAGGAATTCAACACGGCTGCGACCCAGCACAGCCCGGATCACACAGAGCAGACGCCCCGCTGCAGACGACCACTGCTTCTGGGTCCTGCAGGCCTCCAGACGGCGAACGGGGAGGGAAAGGGGGCGCGACACCGGGGGGGGCGCTGATCTGCCTTATGCTGAACTAAGCACTTCAGAGGGAAACTGTGCCCGGCACAAACTGTTACTCTGGTGAAAACGGGCTGGGAAACTAAGGCATCCATCGGAGCAGGCAGGACCCACCCCCCTTTGTCAATAAGGATTTGGGGGGCGGGACTTGATCACGAGAGGCTCGGGCATGATCTCCTTAGTCTCTCGCAGGGCCCATGCCTGCTGGCAGGTGATGGCATGCGGTGCCTTCCTCCCCGGGCACCCGCGGCTCAGGACCGTGGCAGCCGCGCTGACGGGCCGGCTCTGGCCTCCGACCTCTGCCCTCAGCTCAAGCCCTCGGGCCTTCCCAGGTCCGCCGTCCCCAGTAGGGCCCATAACCTCCCCCGACAGGCACTACTGGGACTGCCACACCCCCGCCCGACAGCCTGCACGCTCCAGAGGAGCGGTTCTCACACTCAGGCGCTCACGGGAGCTCCTGTGCGCTTCCTCGCCCACCAACACCCCCCCCCCCCCCCCCACCCCGGTCGGCTCCCAGGCACCCCTGACACTGCCATTCCCAACTGTCCTCCATAGCTGGCCTCTGCCTTCCGCCTCCACTGGCAGTAACACTATGTACTACTTAAACATTTCGGTGGCTGTGATCACGTGAGCCCCGGAAGGCGAGGAAAAAGTATCTCCCCTTTTGAAGGTAACTCTTTACAGTGTTCAGTGTACTCTAACCTGACGCTAAGCACCCTCTCGCTGCTGAACTGAGGTGCTTACTGACCCAGTTTTGCTCCTTTCCTCAGCAGGGTAACCACTACAGATGTGTTACGACAGCCAATGGCTCTGTCCAAGGGACGCATACCGCTGTGGTCCACGTGCTCAATCACGGCCCCCTTCTCAACCAGGTACAGCACCTGCAGGGGGGACAACAGAGGCCCTGAGGGGCGGTTGGGGGCAGGAGCGCTGCGGCTCACCGCCCCCACGCTGCGGTGTCGGACGGAGCCCGGCAGTCTCAGCCTCCCTCCGATCGATCGTAGATGCCTAGGGCCGCTAGGGATCCCAGAAGGGAAATGAAGAATGCGGAACAGAAGGGGAGCTGCAGTGCACCAGGAAAACCTGCTCTGTTAAAGTGACTTTGCTACCAGTAACGAGGAGCAGGTGTGCACTCCAGAGGGAGCACTCATATGCCACCCCACTTCCCAGGCAACAGAGATGAGACACAGTCACCTTTGCATCGCTAATTACTTGGGAGGCAGAAGAAAAGCTCCCATGTGCTAGTAGGCTATGGTAACAGGTCCTTCAGAAACACTGAGATCCACACGGCCTGGAGAGAGGGAGCTGGGGGTCAGGCAGACCCAATTATAACTCACTTAAGGAAAGAGACTTTAATTATCAGGACTACAAAGCTGGCAAGTTTGGGACCATGGTGCACAGACTGATTTGATGCAATAAAACAGCCATCACATGGACCAGAGAACCTAGGAAACCTCTTTGGCCTTTAATCGCCCTACTCACCAGGTGAGTCTACAGCCAGCCTAGACTTTCACATGCATCTGACAGAGCCTCCCAGTCTATACACTGCTCAAAAGGACACTAGAGGGATTAATACCCAGAACACACAAAAAATTCCTCCAACACAACAACAAAGAACCCAAATAACCAAATGGTAAAACAGGCACAGGATCTGAACAGACATTGCTCCAAAGATGACATACAAATGGCCAACAAGATGGTGAGAGAATGCTCAACATCACTGTTCATCAGGGAAATGCTGATCAGAACATCAGAACCACACTGAGATGCCACTTCACATTGTTAGGGGGGCTGCTACCAGATAAGCTTTGGAGAAGAATGTGGAGAAGCAGGAACTCTTGTGCACTGTTGGTGGGAATAAAAAAATGGTACTAGTATGTATGGAAGGACTTCAAAAAACTGAAAACAGAATTAACTATTTGATCCAGCAATCCTACGTCTGAGTTATATCCAAAAGAAAATGGACAGATCTTGAAGAATTTTCAGGATCTCAAAGAGACATCTGCACACCCATGTTCATGACAGACAAGAAGCAGAAGCGACCCAAGCGTCCACTGATGGATGAAGGGATACATACAACTTGGCATATACACACGATGGAACATTATTCAGTCTTAAAAAGCAGGCAAGTCTGACACATGGTATATAACATGGGTGAACCTTTGAGACATTATACCAAGTGAAATAAGCCAGTTTCAAAAGGGCACATATTGTATGATCCCACTTATACGAGGTACCTACAGCAGTCATCTCACAGAGACTGAGAGTAGAAAGGTGGTCACCAGAGGCTGGGGGAAGGAGGAATGAGGACTTGTCATTTCATGGGTACAGAGTTTTAGTTTTACAAGATACAAGAGTCTGGCTGCTCACTGCACAACAATATGAAATGCACTTAGCATAACTGAACTCTTCACTTAGCAATGGTTTAAGATGGTAAATTTTACATTTTTTTTTTTACCACAATGAAAAAAAATGACTAGAACGCTAAGCTTCTTCACTCTCTAATGTTGATGAGCTTCAGGGTTTGGTAAGGTAGCATGAGCTGAAAAATACAAGTGTGGATATGTGAAGTTTCGTTAAACAGCTGTTTTTGCAAAATCAACATTAGGAACAATTTACAATGTCCAGGAAATTGAGACCACTTAACTCTAACATTATGGCCTTTAAAAGCATCAAGGCACAGATGTGCAGGTTGATGATGGCTTTTGCTCCAAGGTCCACAGCTTCTAGCAACACAATGCCTCTCCAGTGAATCCTCATATTTGACATACTTAACTATTCAAAAATGACAACTCACAAGGAGCTGAACATGCCTCTAGCACTTGCCTGGGAAGTGGAATCACATAAAGACATCGTTTCTGCCTTGAAAAACATTTTGTAGATTGTAGTTTATTAAGGCTTTATCCTTTCATTACTCAGACAGGCATTTGGCAAAGAGATAAGGAGAGTACCTTAGGTACTTTATATTATTTCTAGACACTGCCACACAGATTAAAAAACAAACCAGCTAATTATTTGATTGGTAACTTCTCATACGTATGAGAAAGTGTTTTTATAAATAGGAATTCTATTTATATGTATCACTCTAAGAAAATAAAACCACATAAATGCAGTCTGTAATCACACATTTTAAAGCTTTTAAGAGTCTACTAAAATCCTTACTACCGTTCTGGAATACACTGCATGCCAAAGAATTAGAGACGAATGAAAGACATGCATGGCACCCACGCACGGAGTGAGCGCTGTCAGGCACGTGCACTCAGGAATGGTCAGCAGGTTCTGTGCAGTGCGGCCAGCACACAGGTGGATGGACATGAGCAGCCAGGAAAAGGGAAGATAAGGTTCAAGGAAAAACTGCCCAAACTCTGTCCAGGAGGGGCTGCTCTGCAGACAACAGAGGCTTTGCTGGGAGATTACTTCCTTGCCTATAGGGACCAGGGCAAACCGGTCCCAACATGGGCACAGTGGACCGCCTGCAGGTACCCACCGTCTCCGAGTCACCGTAGAAGGCGGCCAGGTCCAAGGGAGTGCGGCCGTTCTTGTCCATCTGATCTATTTCGGCTCCTTCCTCAACCAGAAACTGGACCACTGCCCTGTGACCTTTCAGACAAGCCCAGCTTAACGCCGACAGACCCTCTTTGTCCAGGGAAGAAAGCGTGGCACCTGAAAGAAAAGCCCGTTCACAGGACGTGAGCTCGGGCAAGATGAGGCCCAGCAGCAGACCGTTTCTGGCCCACACACCCGGCCTGGAGCACCGCCATCAGGCGCTGGGAAATGGGAGGCTGACTGGCAAAGCCCCACTGGGGGCACCGAGCAAGGGTGCAGGCTTCGCTACCAATTCCCTCTACTGGCGACAGGTTAGAACGCCTCCAGCACGGGGCTCAAAATGTCAGTGAGGGAGCACCCGAGGGCTCACCAAGCCCTTCTCTGCCTGCCCAGGGGGAACCTGCAGGGCCGGCAGCACTGCTACCTTCAGAAAGGAGGAACTCCACAGTGCTCAAGTGCCCTTCGCAAGCGGCCACCATGAGGGGCGTCCGGCCCTGCTTGTCACTCAGGTTCACGTCACAGCCGTGGCCCAACAGCAGCCGAATGACCTGAAAAACGCTCGGGATTATAATCTTCCTGCTGCATTTCAAGTCACATTCTCTCTACCCGGGTGGGTTTTTCCACCTTCAGAAGTACTAAAAGGATCCTCTTCTCTTAAAAACCCCTCTAAGTTGCGTGATTAGTGGGGCCTGTAAAATATTCCTATTGTGTTCCTTTAAACAGAATCTTCTTCCAAATTAATACTCCTCTGAACAGGCCCGATTCATTGTTGTATCTATAAAACATGCACATTCAAGGTGGACACAGCAATTGGGAGCAGGGGGGATGCCAATAATGATCAAGTAGTGACCAGACAGCCAGGCAGGGCACAGGGGACACACGAGCAGAACTGATGGGGGGCGAGCATGGCATGGCTCCCGCGGTGGTGCCGGGCCACCTTCTGCAGTGAGGAAGGGCCCAGGGTGAGGGAGGTGGGGCACAGTCTACAGTCACCCACAATACGAAGTGGCCTGCTTTTCTAAAACTCGGCTTGGCAGGTGGCGTGATTGGGCGATTTTTAGTAAAGCTTCCTGGAGGGCATTCTCAGACACAGAACCACGCTTTTAAGTGGTAAGGGTGATAAGGTTGGGGAACAAAACCAAAACACGAGAAAGCCATCTCACAGCACCACTGTCTCAGAGGTAACTGCTTTATGGGGGGCCAGCGGGAGGGTTGCCCAGTCTCCCTTCTTCTGGTGTGGTATTTGTTAAACCCCTGTAACTGGAAGTAGCACATTCCCATTGCTGTCTTGTTCCTGATGCCTGACAAGTGCTCTCCAAACCTCCCCATGACTGAGGAAGCCTGGAGACTAGGAGAGGGCACCGCAGAGGGGTGATGAGGGGGACAGAATGGGTGGTACAAACAAGCTCTAGGGAATGGAAAGAGGAAAAGCCAAAATCTTCTTGGCAGGGAGCTCACAGATCCTGACCGAGGAGCTCTAGGAATCGGGAGGGACGCAATTCCAGGATGCAAACGGGTCTAGAAACGCTCCCTGTCACGGACATGGTCAGATCCATCTGCGGCTGTGTGTACCTTGGAACCAGGCCTGGAGATGGTACAGGGCTGCTGTTCATAACTGAAGGAACAAGTGACTTAACCACTGCTCTCAAGGACCCCCTGCTCCCTCAGATTAAAGGGAGCACACGTTCCCCGCAGTGAAGGCAGGCGGCCTGGGCTCCAGCACCACACAGGAGGGAAATGTGTCCTTTTCCAACGAGCACCACGAGCCCCTCTTCTTCCCAGTATGTTGGACAGATGAGGGACATTTGTGTCACTACCCACCCCATCTCCCCAGCCCAGTTAGAAGGAGGCAGCTATGTGTCCCTACGCTGGTTACCAGCCTTCCTCCTGGCGAGCAGCGTACAGGGCTGGCTGTGTTAGCCGGTCACATGTTTGCCTTGATCTAGCAGTATCGACAGTGCAAGCAGAAAGGGACAGGGCTCCAGGGCACACGGGCCACACTGAGCTCTGCCCCCCTCATTGTTTCTGAGGCATTCAGGGGCCCCCAGGTACCGGCCAATGTCCCTGGCGTGCTGCACAAAACAGCGGCGGGACGCCTCTCCTGTTAGTCCGAGACACAGCAGCTCCGTGCGCCAGCAGCAGCTCGCAGACCTCCAGCTTGCCTCGTCCGGCAGCCGCGGTCAGGGCTAAAGGGAAGGCACAGGGGAGGAGCGGGCCGTTAGTACGTGGCGGCTGCAAGTGGCCACAAAGTCTGTGACACTCCTCCCGTGGAGAGGAAGGGGACTGCGGATCCTACGCCCTTGCATCTGGGTGGGCTTTGTGATGGGATGGCTTTGACCAACAGAAAACAGCAGAAAACCAGTGCGTTGGCCCACGCCAGAGACGGCAATGGCACTGCCTTGGACACTCGTGCCTGGAACCCAGACACCACGCTGTGAGCAAGGCCGAGCATGAAACCCACCGGAGGCGCCAGGCCGTCGTGGGGATGCCAGTCCCAGACAAGCTCTCAGCAGCAGCAGTCAGCAACACATGGCCAACCATGTGCGTTCACCACCCTGGGAAGGGACCCCAGACCCGCTAAAGCTATGAGAACGCAGAAGGGCCATCCCTGTTGAACCTGGTCCAAATTACAGATTTAGAAGCACTAAGGTCTTTTTTATTGTTGTTTTTTTCCACAGCAAGAAATAACCAGATTATAGTGCAACACAAAGACAGGGTCAGTCGGCAGTGTCCAGTCCAGCCTCCCACTCTAAAATACTAAATTTCAATCAACAGGAACTAATAATTCCTGAGGCGGTCAAGAGTGTACTGCATCATTCCTGCCTTTATGGAACTTAGAGTCCCGGTAACACGTCAGGAGTCTGGATTAAGAATGTCAAGAAAGCAAGACCGGGGAATAGGGGGTCTGACTGTAGAGGGCCTTGGGTGCCTGAACAGCCAGGTGGGCCCCGACACAGTGAGCAGCCCTGGAAGCCAGGGCACTGCGGGGAGGCTGGCCAAGGGGGAGACAAAAACAGCTTGAAGGGGAAGGGACTACGGGGCAAGGGTTCTCATGATGCCCCCCTCGTGGTGCCGGTGCCTCCCCAGCCCCAAGTCATGATTCATGACGGGGGGCTGATAAAAAGAGGGGCCTCTGTTAGGACACATGCATCACCATCCTGAGGAAAGGACAGTAGTAGGTTGCAAGGTCAAACCCTGGCCAGCAAGACAGGCTCCCAGGGCAGAAGAGGACAGGAAGGGGCTGATGGGGGAGATGGAGCCCTGCTGAGGGCGTGTCTGCAACAGGGGAGCTGGCGAGGGCGCGTCACTGCAGCTCTCTTCCTGGAGCCAGCCCGAGGCGACTTTGTTTTTAAATATAGCCTCACACCTACAAATTTCCAACTTCTGGAACAGATCAGGGGCTCCTACGAACAGTTAAGACATCTCCGTGTGGAAATCAGGAAAGCACAGGAATAGGGTGAAGGCCAAACACCAACAAACCTCTGAAAAGTGCCACACCTCACGGGCAGCCCAAGTACCTGAGAAATGGTTGTGCCACACACTGCTGGCGAGAGGGGACACGTACAGGTCCCACTGCCCAGCCAGCCGGCAGGCGTACCTGTGCCTGGCGGTGCCCTCGAGTGCACTGAGGGCCATGCGCTTGGCAGTACAACCTGGAAGCAACCCAGGAGACCAGGAGCTGATGCAGAGCGCATCACACTCACGGTGCAAACGACAGAACAAATGCAGCAGCATCCATAAGACTAAATGCAATGCCAGGGGTCAGGCTCCCAAATTCATCAGGTCAAAGAAACACTGTGCATGGAGACGGAGCAGATGTAGCTGGGGAGCAGCAAGCCACAGCAGTCCATGAAGTGGCCCATCGGGCGTCCACTGTCTAGTCTGCCTGGCCACGGTTTAACCCCCTGGAGCCACAAAAACAGATGTCAGCCTGACATCTGGTCCTGCTCTCCTGCGACACTGAACAGTCCCTCCGAGGAACAAAGAAGTCTCCTCGGGCCGTCCCCGGGGACACAGTGCAGTGTGGCCAGTGACGTCACCTCTTCGCACACCACAGAGAAGCACCCACATCTGCCTGCCAGGCCAGGTGAACTCTGCTTCTATCCCGAGTGAGTGAGCCAGGCAGTCCTCCTACTGGGGACCGGAGGATGTGAGGGCCAGGCGAGGAAGATGACATGGTGGGAAGCCGACCCACTCCCTCCAGAAGGCAGGCCAGCTCTCTCCACCCTGGCCCTCCGTCCCCCTGAAGCTGGGAATGGGTGACCCGAGCAGCCCATCACGGGGCAATATGCACAAGACGAGCCACTTGTAACAACAGCTGCCATCCGCACTGCTGATTTTCTGCAGACAGTGCACCCAGGACCAAACAGACAAGTGGAGGCTCGGCGGTGGGCATGTTCCTATCTGTGGTGCACATACTGGCAGTGCATCCACACTTGTGATTTAAGTTGTAAACAAATTCCAGATGGGGTGGTATTTATATCCATTTTATATGCTGATGGACTGGGGTGGAGATGGGGGTTCCCATACCCCAAATGTTTGAAAACCAGTGGCCAAGGTGATCCTGCCTTACTGTGAGCGTCTAAGCCAGTCCTGGTCCCTGCAGCCACAGGCATGCACAGCATGGTGCTCCACACGCTCAGTTGAAGGCGCCTGAGTCCCCTGGGCCTTGGGGCACTTTTATACGTGTTTGACACCTGTGAGGGGCTGGGGAGACCAAAGACCTGGGCCTGCTGTTCCCGTGTGGCCTCCCCCTCCTCTGGTTGGGGTGACCAGGCGAGGCCCCACACAGGAGTGAAGGCGCAGCTGCAGACAGGGACCTGCCGGCCCCCCACCCCAAGGGTGCACGCAGGGCCCATCCATTCCATGAGGCCTGAGGCGCTGATCTGCCACATTCCAATCTCTCATCTGATAAACAAGTTTCATCTGCACTATAAATGGGGCCTTTAACTCAGGATTTCTGTTGCAGCTGCTACTGAATTTCTGCAACAACACCTCAGAAATGACAGCCCAGCACTGAAAATAGGGCCGTGTGTTTATGGAGGCGCCAGAGAAGCCAGAAGTGGGAGCAGCTGGCAAGCAGATGAACACGCCCCCTGGGCCTGGCGGCAGGGCCGGCCTCCTCCTCTTTACAACCCCCCTTGCTGGGCATCCGGCGGTTAACTGCCTGTTAAGGTGGCAAAGCACCTATAAAGCACAGCTGAAAGCGAGTCTCACAAGTTTGCTCAGGCAAGAGGGTCACATTCTGCACACTGATTCCTAATGAGGCGCTCATTTTCCAGCGAGGCCCCTACACAACAGGACCTGTGTTTTCTTCTTTCAATGCCAAGCGAATATTTTTGGCTCCATCACTCAGGAGCCCTGAACTAGGGTGTATCTCAAATTTCAACAGCCACAAGGACTTAAGGGTACCATATTCAGAAACAAGAGACTGAAGAACAAACCAAATGCTCGTATCATGGCAAAACTCTGCTCAGGAATTCCAACTATTCTGCTGAGGAGTCCGGCCTCGGAGCTGACCCCCCTCTCCTCCCCCCCACTCCACCACGGGTCAGCGCCCTCTGCCCGGCTGGGAGAAATGGGGACCAGGGTGGGAGGAGCCCACCCCAGGCAGTGGACGGCACCTTGTCTTCTGGCCAGCGAAACACAAAGATGGACAGAAAAGATATGGTATGAAATGGAGACTCTAAAACCAATGTGAACACATGGCACTTTTTAGGACTCAAATTGGACACGATTTCTTCCACTTGCAAAATCCTTAACAAGATGGCATTTTTGTAATTAAATTCCCATGAAAGCTTGTATTATCTTCTGATGACCCTGAATCATTTTTACGTCAGCAGGACTATCCTGTCTTGAGAGCGTGAGCAAATTAGTTGTGGAAGGTGTTCATTTTAAGAAAACCCAACTGACACTCAACAATATGAATTTATTGAAAACATCAGTGAGATAAGGTTGCCTGTAAAATAGATCGTTTACAGGAATCTTTTAAACAGTAACAGTCTATGTGCAAAGATTCAATTTACAAAAACTGAAATGTCAACTTGCCAGAAACACAGTCATTCCATAAACAGGGCTGTTTATACCATTTTATGTATGGCAGATCTGCCACTCAAACCCACAGGGAAGTGCTACGCAGGCGCTGGACAGTGGCTAAAGGGTTTAACAATGGATCATCCCCTCCCCCATAATTCTGCGCCAGTTTAGAGCCTCTGAGAGAAGGGTGACAGGTCAGTGCATACAGATGCAATTCCCTGCTTCCAGACTGCGACCTTTTCACGTATTACACACTGATGGCTGAAGCTGGAGCTGAGCACATTAGCAACACCAGTTCACACCTGTGGGTGGACCCTTCCTGCTGAGATGGCTGAGTGACATGGCAGGGTGGCTCAGCTTTGCTTGTACACTTGTGTTTATCTGTGCAATTTGTTTCTTCATATATTGGCTTTTCCCATCTTTTATAAAAATGAGTGGAAATTTATAAAATGGAAGTGCCAACATTAGCAAACAGCAGGGTTCTTGTAAATGTCATCGAATTGAGACCAAGATGGAAACCATCAGACGTGGCAGGCAGTGATGTCTGAACCTCCTCCCCTGGAGGCCCACCAGACAAACCCCACTCACCTGTAAAGCAGAAGAACAACAGTGCACACGAAACACTGGAAAATTCTCAGCTATTTTATCTAAAATGTTAATTATGAGTTTTATGATTTTTAAAAAATTCTTTGGGAATAGCTTCCCCTCTCTATCCACTTTCTAATACCTGACCTTGTAAGGAAAGCCATTACAGTGGAAGCGGGCCTGTGTTGGGCTGGGCTGGGCTGCCCCCACCAAGGGCCACAGAGAGACTGGCCCCCAAGTCCTCTGCCTGAATGAAAAAAGCAAGCCCACACCCCCTCCTCCACCTTCTGGGCATAGGTCTGAGACTGATAAACGCCAAATCCCACCGCCTTTGTGAGGCATTTCCTTCCTTTGCTGAGGAAGGGGACACCTTCTGTTCCACAGAACAAACTGGCAGCAGCTAGCAATTCTCCACTCCCAGACTGGGCCGTTATCTCACCCAATCCTCAGTGTGAAGGATGAATGAAAATAATATAGATCGCTCTTACTGAAAAACGTCAAGCACGGGGAGACAAACCCCAGGAAGCCTCCAGTACCCTCCAAACTGCCGGAAGCCAGTGTGGGG